TCAAGCACAGCACGGACTACACAACCAGTTCAAGGCTGGCCTGCACTACACAGCAAGACGCTGTTTCCAAAAACAAAAGACAATTTTTAAGTGTAGGCTGGAAGTATAGTTCAGCTCTATTGTAGAACATGTGCTTAGTGTTAACATGCTTGAAGCAGTATGTTCAATCCCAGTACCAAAACAAACAAAAAAATTTTTTTTGAGAAAATATAAATAAAGCTGTAGTGACAGAAATCTATGAGCATTTACCTGTGGGAGGAGACAGGGAGAAATTACCAAGGGGCATGAGCAAAGTTTTAGAGAAAGCAAATATGTTCTTTATGTTGTTGTGGTGATGCCCTCATGAGTGTACACATATGTTAGAGACTCACCAAATTGAACTCCTTAAATATATACAGTTTATTGTTGTTCAGTTAAACCTAACTAGAATTTGAAATTTTATACCTCAATAAACCTGACTTTGAGAAAAGAATAAATGTATTGGATAACTGAGTGAAGGTTAGAATGACAGGCAGAAAGGTGAACTGAACAGTAGAAAGACTAAAGAGGTGGTAGAGTTGATATGGGAGCCAAGTCTAGCATGTGACCTTGAGAGAAAGCCACCACAGCAACGTGAGGTGAAGAGCAGTGGAGAAGAAACATTCAAGGCTCTGAAAGTATGAGATGACTCCAGTGATGGGTGTGATCAGCAAAGCTGCTCAGGATTTGGGATGGACAGGAAGCTCTAAGCTAAATCAGACTGGTCTGTGGCAGCACCAAGCAAAGATGGTCCCATGGAACAAGGTGTGGGAGATCAGCACTTTATACTGGAGAGGGCTGCATGGGGAGAAGTGTTACCAGATTAGGCAGGAATAAGAGTGATAAGAGAAAAGAGTTTGGGGGCTGAGGCAGGAGGATCATCGTGAGTTTGAGGCCAGCTCAAACAGGGTCTCACTATGAAGTTCAAAAAAAAAAAAAAAGGAAGAGCAATATTAAGAGAAAAAAACAGAGTTTATTTGAGCAAAACAAAAGTATAAGAACCAAAACCAGATTTGTGAATTGGGCACCCCTCAGAATCAGAAGAGGTTCAGAGAACACCATCTGGATGTGGCAGTATTTCTAGGTAGAAAATAGAAGGAGATATAGAAACAGCTTGAGGGGTTTCAGCTGTGTATTTGCTTGACAGGCGTGGCACGATTAGTTGGCTGATGTGACTTGATGGAACTTGACTGTTTATTACAGTACTTCTTAGGCTTGCAGTTTGTCTTCTACCAGGTTAGGTTGACATTCTTTATCTAGGGAGTGATGGCATGAAAAAAAAAAACCTTTGGCCAAATTTAGTTTAACATTAGGCTTCATGAAGCTGTTGAGAATGTAGGGAAGTTTGCAATTACTAAACAGGTTGCAAACTTCTAGATTTAAGGTTTGAGGTTGTTTCTGAGTAGTTGGGACAGGATGGGAGGAATGCCTTGGAGTGGGAATAGAAATGGTATGGGAATAGAAATACCTCCACCTGGGATGTTCCTAAAGATTCTAAGAGACGCAAGGACATTCCTAGATTGGGGTAAATTCCAACTGGAACACAATAATTATTTGCTATTGGTCTGACAATATCAGTATTGTTATTGGATCCAAAGATGTAGCTCAGTGGTAGAGTGCTTGTCTAGCATGTACGAGGACCGGATTTGATCTTTAGGATGGCCTCCTTTCCAGAGCTAATCTGGGGAGAAGGATAGAGTATCTCTCTGGATTTTTCTCAGAATTAAACAATTATTTGAGTCCTCATATTACACCCCAAACATGCTGGGAGCTCCTTTTGTCCCTGCTTTTCCCAGGTCTCCTCAGCTGTCACACGACCAAGGGGCCAGTTTCCCTTCTTGGCTTTGGATGCTGGTCCTTTCCCAGAGGTCTCATTGTCCCACAAAGGGACAAGAGACCTGGGCAGGTTTCAGCATAACCAAATGATTTTCTAAGTGTGTTGACTTTACCTGGTCACATTGATTCCTTTGCTGGCTTAGAAATCCTCACTTTTACTTTGACCTCAGATGGGTGTGTATTTCTATTTGCTTTACAATTTAGCTTTTATTTTTTTTACTGCTAATCTCTGTTCTTCTGTATCCTTCTTTTAATTCTAATCTACTTCCACTATAAATAAGTGGAAAATAAATTTTTAAAATTTTTTTATTGGTCACCATATTCAAAACCCATCTTATCTTTTCTCTAGCCTCCAAATCTATTTCTCTATATTGGTTAGTGGAATTATCTACCTTTTTTGTTTGTGTCATTTTGCTTTTTGAGACATAGTCTCCCTCTGTAATGCAAGCTGGCCTTGAATTTACTATGTGACAGCCCAGACTCACAGTGATCTTCCTGACTCAGCCTCCCAAGTGCTGGGATTAAGGGCATGCGCCACCATGATTGACTACTTTGTTTCTAATTAGAAATATAAGCTTAATTAGAAATGTAAGCTTCTATCTCTGCTATAGTTTCTTTTCTTTCTTTTTTCTTTTTGTATTTTAGGGAAGGGTCTACAGGATGTGTAGGGTCTCACTACTAGATCAGACTCAGTGATCCACCTGTTTACAGCCTCCCAAGAACTGGCATTACAGGTGTGTGCCACCATGTCCAGTCTCAATTGCATGTACCGGGGGTGGAGCCGGCCCAGCAGGCCTGGGGATTGAACCCCCAGCCCATGCACATGCTTACAGGTTCTTTAATCCACTGAGCTATTTGGCTGGCCCTTGCTTTCCTTTTTATTCACATTTATGAAACATCTCAGTATGCAAATGAATTGAATTTGTATAACAATTTAATGCAATTGAACACTAACAGTCTAGACAAAAATGAATCAGAATAGATTATTTAGTTCTTATGGTCTCATAAAAGGCAACAGACATTTTTGGAGATTCAAATCTTTTCTGTCACTTATTCTAGCAAAACCTACTTGCCTAAAAGATACAGGAAAAACAGAATGGTTGAGTTCTTCAAATGAATTTTCCTTTTCAGTGCTGGGAATGAAAGGCCTTGCATAGACAGGGCGAGTGGTCTACCACTGAGGTACAGCCTGTCTTTGTTTTCTGGAAATTGAAAAGATGTTCTTGAGGCAAAACAGCTCTCTGAGCCTGAGTGAAAGTCAAAGCTTTCACTCAGGGAACGATAAAGCTCTACTTCCAGCAGCTGGAAGAACTAACAGAAGCTACAGGAAAGCAGGCAACAGAATCTAGTCTGCAGAGTTAAATTTCCAGAAAACAATAAAAGCAAAGCTGAATTTAATGAGACTTAGCTATGTATATTTTGCAGATTTAGGATTAACAATTTGAGAAATAAACTGGGCCAAAAATAGTTTAGAATGCCCTGCCTCACAACAGGGCCAGTTATATTTATAGCCAGAGAACAGGGAGTGACTTACTAAATAGGAAGTGAGGTACAGAGACATTCTGACTGGGACAGCTTGCTTCTGTCTTTCTTGAACGTGGTTTGAACAGTACACAACTTATTATTATTATTATTATTTATGAGCAGAATATATTTATTGAGAGAAAGAAAGCTCCTGTTCAAGAGAGGTACAGGAGGGGGGCTCGAGCGGGTAGTTCCCCAGAAAGCTGTCTCTTCCAGGGACTTTTATAGTGTAAAACCATGTGAGGCTAAGGTAGAGAGAATGGGAACTCCCTTAGGCGGGCAGGAGGTGGGACAAAACTATGGTCAACCAATGGGATTACATATGGGACAGGGTCTTTTCCTGTTGGGGGTTGGAATGCGGGATAGGGTCTCTTTCTGTTGGGGGTTGGGCTAGTGTGAGTCAAGTGACTCAGTACACAACTTATGACTGGCTGAGGCCCACCTACTTCTTTGGAATAGGTTATGTTTACACATCAAGTTAGGTTACACTTCACTGCGTGTGAAGAAATCTTTAGGCCAAAGTTAACTTGTTTGCTTTGGGCCAACTTTAATAATTTTTTTTTGTGCTTATTTTAAATATCAATCATCTCAAATATGTGTTTTTTTAAAATAATTTGATTGATTGATTGATTGAGACAAGGTCTGCAGTTTGGACTTGTAGTGATTCCCCTGTCTCACCTCCCTAGTGCTGGAATTACGGGGGAGCCCAGCCACACCTGGTTCTCAAATGTGTTTTTTGTTGTTGTTTCGGTGGTGTCAGGGATTGAACTCAGGACCTTGCACTTGCCAGGCAAGCTGAACGTGTTTTCTGATGAATACAGTGTGTTCAAAAACTGAGTGCTTATTTTTTTTAAAGAATACAGAATAGTAACAGCAATAACAAAAAGCATTAGAAATTATACAAAATTTCATTAAACGTGCTCGCTTCGGCTGCACATATACTAAAATTGGAATGATACAGAAAAGATTAGCATGGCCCCTGCGCAAGGATGACACGCAAAATTTCATTAAACAAAATAATAGGAATTCAACAAAAACTGAGTGCTTAGACGAATATCGTAAGGAGGGAGCTCATGCTTTTGATTGTAGAAATCCATAGTATTACAAATCTGTATTATGTTTAATGATCAAGCGGTAGTTTTCTTTCCTGTTATGAGTATTGTAAATAGAACTGCCTATAGCAGTGGTAGGGTTGTATCTAAATCCCCATTCCCATGCCAGCCTTTTAGTGTCTTAAGTTTTGTTCTTTCATATTCAAATAACACATTCTTTCTTTCTACTGTGTTTCTTTGGCTCAGTGCCCACATATTTTTATTTAGTCCCTGAGTCCTAAATAAAAATATTTATCTCATCTTTAGTCCATGAGAAAGATGTGTAGATATTAACATAAGAAATAAAATGCAGCTGTGAAGGCCTAGTCGTGAAGGTTTTGGACTTGAAATCTCCACACAGGTTCAAATCCTGGTCTTAGTGGTTAGGTTTTTCTGTCTGGATATCCCAGCACTTGAGGGACTAAGCCAGGAGGATCATGGTGAGTTGGAGGCCAGCTTGGACTGCATATCAAGACTCTATCTCAAGAACAAGCAAAACCAAAGAGAGAAATGAATTGATGACAAAAACCATGGAGCCTATAGGGCAAAGAGCCGAGTATAGTATTTACTCTACATGTTGTATGTATTAATATGTTTAATCCTCAATATAAATTTGTGAGGTAGTGTTGTTATTCTTTCCATCCTACCAGTGGAGAAACTGAGGCATAGAAAGACTAATAATTTTACCCAAGATCACTCATCTAGCAAGCATTAAATAGCTAATAGTGACAGAGTCGGTATTCCAAAGCAGACAGCACGACTTTGGAACCCGTGTTCCACTATACACCATATACCATATTTCATTGTAAAATAAGATTTCTCTTGCATGTTTCATTCTAGTCTCTCTTCCTACCTTTCTCACTGGTTTCCTCCAGGGTTCTATTCTCCAGACCTCCCTTGGAATAGGTAGTAACAAAGATTCTGTGATCGAGACAAACTTTGTTCCTAGATGTGTAGCCTAGATGTTTTCTCTCCTTAAGCAGATGACTTAGGTCCATCAGAAAGAGTAGTAAGTAGAAGACAAACTGCCTTCCATCTTTTCACCTGATAAGCTTGATGCATATGTAATATTACTGATATTATCTCTTTCCACCCAGCAGAGGAGAGGATAAAGTCAACTGGGTAAAAGGGAATGGAAACTCCCCAGGGCAGACTCCACACTGGATATGTGCCATTGTTTCTCTATGTCACTTTGAACTTTGGTTCCGGTTCTTACCTGCAAGGGTATCCTAGATCATTCTGTAGGTAACAAGAGGCTTAGACGTTTCAGAGTCCTCAAAACAAAGCATCTATAAAACAGATTTTTTTCTTTATAACTTTGGTGTATTACTGTTCTACTGAAGTCTACTACTTATCTATTAAATTGGGATAATAAAGTAGACTAATGCTGGTTTATAGTATATCTCTCTATAAATCCATTTTGAGACTTAATTATGTCCATGACTCTGCCTAATGGCTTATTTTCAATGCTACATATCAATTTATACTAGTCACTTAACCACACCAGTAGGTAAAGATGAAACAAATGTAACTTAATCATTATGGTTTAGACATTTTCAGACCATATTTTGCTATGTAGTATAGGCTAGAATAGGCTATATAGCCTGGGATCTCAATAGCCTGGGATCCGGATCCTCCAGCTTCAGCCTTCCAAACATTGGGATTACTGGTATGCGCCACCACAGACTTGGCTGCCAGCCTGGGGTGCTACTGCGAGATAGTGGAACATTTAGGAGGTGATAGAACCTTTAGGAGATGGGACACAGAGCCAGAAAGTCATCGGGGATCCAACCTTGAGGAGAATACCGAGATCTCATACCTTGTCTCTTAGTTCCAAGCTGCCACTGAGGTTGAAAGCTACCTCTACCATACATTTCCCACCTCAGGCTCTGAGGCAACGGTCAAGTGAACAAGAAGAATTGCACTTCTGGAACCATGAATCAAAATAATTTGATTTTTGTAGGTATTTTGTCACAGTGTCATAGTTGGCTGAAACACTAGTAATTAAATTATTTTGAGATAATTTCTTAGGAGTGTTATCTCATAATTGTAAGTAAACAACTTGTAGCAAACATCCTTTTTATTTTAGTTTTGAAATAAAATATTTGTGGTATAAAAAGTCCAGTCCTAAAGAAAAGTGGTACAAGAAATACTCAGATACCCTTCACCTGATTTTGCAACTTGAGAACATCTTGTGACCTTTGTTTTCTTTCTCTCTCACATGGATTCACACGTACATATTCTATTTTTGTTTTGGTTTAGCCATTTGAAATGAAGTTGTTGACATTATTACATTCACCAGCTAAACCCTTCAATGTGTACTGTCTGAGAAGCACATTGTCCTACATTTCAGAGTGTCACTATCACATCTAAGGCACTTGAGATGGGCCCACTGTTACTATCTTACAGTCTCATTAAATTTCTTCAGTTTCCCACAAAAAGGTCTTTGCAGATATTCCCTCAACTAATTTTTTTTTTTTTCTGATTCAATATTCTGTCAGGCATTTGGTTGGCATATCCAGCACCCCCAATAGACACTTAACAAATCTTTCATGACACTGACATTTTAAAATATTCAGTCTAATTGTCTTGTAAGCTGCTTTGACTGTTTCCCTGCAGTTGGATTCATGTTAAATATTTTGGCAAGAATATCACCTCAGTATTGTTACACACTGCAATGGTATCACATCTGGAGACATATAACATCAGTTTGTCTCATTATAGAAAATAATTAGATCATTTGAGTAAGGTGATGTCTTTCACCTTTGTTAAAAAAATAATCTGCAGGTGTTGGGCATGATGGCACACACCTGTAATCTCAGCACTCAGGAGGCTGAGGTAAGAAGATCACCATGAGTTTGAGGCTAACCTGGATTACCTAGTGAGTTCAAGGCCAGTGTGAACTACATAGTGAGACTCTGTCTAAACAGAGAAACAAAATCTAGAGATGATACTTTGAAACCATGTGAATATCTTATCTCTCAATTATTTTTCACCCATTGGCTTTAATAGTCATTAATATAGTTTGAAACTACTACTTTAGTTTACAAAATAGTAATCTTTAAATTTCTATCACTCCTTTTAGCAGCTTTGTTTAAAAAAAAGAGCTTTCTTTGACTCAATCCCCTTTTTATTTTTCATTTCATTTTGAACTCATGAATTCTTTTAATGAAATTCAATATGTTATAATCCATTTAACATAATTTAGCTACGAGGCCATGCCTAACAGGTAACTCCTAATTAGATTATAAATCCTTTCCCCTAAAATGGCAAAAATCTTGGGATATTATAGCACAGCTAAATTCGAGAATAATGCAATTCATTGGAAACAGGAGAATTAACAATTAGTGATGAGGGGCTGGAGAGATGGCTCAGTGGTCTAAAGCACCTACTTGGAACAAACTTGGCAAAGCACAGGGACCACGGTTCGATCCCCCAGCAACACATGTCAACCAGCCCCGCCCCCTGGTGGGCTAAGCTGGCCATACACACACACACACACACACACACACACACACACACACAAATAAATGTAAAAAAAAAAATTTAAAAAAACCCAAAAAACCAATTAGTGATGAGACACCCATACCCCTTCCCACCTCCCACCTCGAGTCCTGACTGCTGTGCTTATACTAATCCCCAAGCCAAAATTTCTCTCTGGGAAAAATGGATTGATCCAGGGAAAAATGCCTAACAGTACTAATATTGTATGTCTTCACTAAAATAAATGGCAAGAGCCAGCATCCTAAGACCCAGTTAAAGAGCTCTGGATTCCTGTGATAGGTTCTGGCCGTAGTATAAATTGCTGAATCATTATGGTGGTCACCTAACATGACTGACACCCTTAAAACAAAAGCCCATCTTCCCAAGACCACCTCTCTCCTTCTCCAATTCAGTCCAGGGTACAACTTCCTTTCACCCTTCTTGCCACTTCAGGGTAGAGCCTCTATCAGCTCTCTCAGGTATATCTGAACATCCCCTTCAAACTCCACCCCCAGCAAAAGGCTGTAAAAGCCTCATCTTCACTTTGTTCCAATCAAGAGAATTCCCATCTTCCCCAAATTCTCTGTGTCCTCAGAGAAAATAAAGCCCCTTTCCCTTCTTCCTTCTGCCTGTTTCTCCGCTGCACCATGGGCCTGAAAAAACCTATCACCGTATATGCAAAGATAGCAATTTGTTTTCTAGTGGATTCACTTCTCAGTATGAGGGAATAGCTAAGGATCATGCAACATTTACTTTTTTTTTGCAGTACCAATGGTCAAAATCAGACCTTGTGCTGGCCAGGCAAGCGCTTATGCCATATCTCATATGATGACAGGCATCGAAGGAAAGAAACAAAACAACAGCAAAGATAATCTGAATGAACTAGGAGTTCTGGAAAGAAAAATCCCATAATTTTATTAATATTTGCAGAACAATAATAAAATAATAACTAAAATTAAGACAATAATAAAAGGCATCTTATCCGTGAAGATATTGCAAGCTACCTTTGAAAAGGGAACAATCAGAGAAATTAAAATGTGATTGCAGGAACTTAACATTGATAGGGTTGAAAGACAATAAAGGTTGATAGACCTTTTAGAGAGTAAACTAGAAGGGAGAGAGGGGAGAGACAGGAGAGACAAGGGGAAGTAAAAAGAATTAAGGTGTTTTATGTAAATGACCAACTCCCCATGATGAATGTAATCATTATATATTGCAAACATGTACAAATGAAATTTAAAAAGAAAATTCAAAAGACAAATGCATGGGGAATTAGAATCAAAACATAAAAGTTAAATGATTCATCTAGGAGGCCTATCATCTAATTAATAATTTCTTTTTTTTAATTTAATAGTCTTTCTCCTATTTTTATTTATTTATTTATTTATTTTTGTGGTACCAGAGATTGAACTCAGGACCCTGCGCTTGCAAGGCAAGTGCTTATTCT